ACACACACGCAACCAGTGGCTGTCCTCACCTGGTGAACATAACTGCAGTTGTTGTGTTAGAAAAAAAGATTTTGGGAGAATTCTTTTTTGAGTACTGAGAGGTGTAGTTCTGTTGTGGAGAAATGCCCGGGTCTGGGTTTCTATGGTGCTGGTCTTTAGATCAAACAAAACAAAGAGTATCCTATTACTCATTTGCGCCATGTCATTTTCTACATACAACACAATACATGTCAACCTATTGTGTTTAAATGTCAAAGATAGAAGAAGTGATTAGTTTAATTTAATTATATTGTGTGAGAGAAGAACAATGAAAACATATTGGGCCAGAAACCAAGAAACACTATGTCTGAAAGTGTAAAATATGAGGGAAATTATCTTTATGCTCTGTTAGAAATACTATTTAAGTAAAAAAGAAAGTTTTAAAAAATAAAAGCTTCTCTGACTGTAGGTTTTGTTTCTGATTTTTTGCGTGCTATTATTGACAGAGTAGCTACATTTACAAAATGTGGCCTGGGGCATAGATAGCTTAAAAACAGTTCCATTCCATACATTGTACACAGATGCGGTGAAGGATCATCATAAGAACCAATTTGAAAGATATTAGTTACTAAGTAAGGTGCTAACTGCTAACCATGCAGTCTACTATGAATGGGAGGATTAACATTGTTTCTCAACACATTTATTTTTACTTATCACTGAATTGTATGTTAGTGGGTTGTGGAATCTTAGATGATGACTAATAAGATGGGGGCGGAGTCTAACCAATAAATAAATGTCCAACCATACAATGATAGATTTGTCATGCTCTTCGAGTCCCTTTGACGGATCATGCAATCCCAAAAAAGCACTGACTCAAAAGTAATTAAACACACAAAGACCTCGACAATGAATGAACTCCCAGGGATAGAGAAGGTAACAATTTATTGCCTAACATCTTTGTTTCTTCACAATCTTTAATGGCAGAGACTGCAGACATTTGTAATTGTCTGAATTTAGTCGAATTCAGTTCGAAGTCAGTTTTCATGCATTGTTATAATCTGCATGGATACTATAAAACCTAAATGTACCAAAATTGCATCAGGGTATCTAAAATGGCCATCATACATGAAGTTAAAATAGATGTTTCATGTTTCACCAGGGACATGGTTCACCAGGTTTGTTCATTTTTCAGTATTTACTGTCTTTCTTCTTTGGGAAGCGCAAAAGAGTACACAGAAAACAAGCCATCTGGTGCTGAATCCAGTCGAGATGTGTAGGATTCAGTGTTTTAACTTCAATTCCAGCGCGGGGATCAGGGGTGAAGCACCTGCTAGCAGCTCAGAGCTTTCCATGAGACGCTGCTGAAGAAGGGATGACACTTGATGTCACTGACGCCCCCCCCACCAGAACCCAGGCGATAGCCCGCATCAAACTGAAGCAACTGTGAAACAGCATAATGGAGAAACACTGTAAGATAAAATCTCAACATGTATTGACACTGAGCATAATGTTCAGAAGAGAAGCATGAAGTCTGACCTCAGTGAGCAGAGAGGCGGCGGCAGCGCTCAGGTGATTGGGGATGAGCAGCTGGGTGTGGGAGTGGATCCCTGCTGGGTGGAGCTGCCACAGCGGCTGCAGGCACAGAGAGCAGAGAGAGAGGGAGGTCAAGGTGTAATGTGCAGAAATAACTGTAATACTGAAGATGTTTCTAGCGTGTAAGCTTACCATTCCTGTTAGGAGTTCAAAGAGCAAAGCCCCAAGACTCCACCAATCACAAGCCTCCGTTATCCTGGACACGCCTCCAATTTCTGTCAACATACAGGGGCCGAGGTAAGTTGTACTCATGCACAAAACTTATGGAAATGTGTTGTGATGTCTTCCTATTGCTATTATAATATGCAGTACTTTGCTTCTTATTCAGAGGAAAGTGAACCGACTTAATCTTGCCACTAGGTGGCAGTTAAACACCAATCCAGAGGTGTGAGAAATATTCAGATTCTTTAGTAAAACTTTTACCTAATTTGACTAAGTGCTAAAACCCCACTGAACAAATCCATCATAAGTTAAAACATTGCAAAACCTCAATTTAACATAATTATGTAAGTATTATCAGCAAATCAAGTATGAAATGTAAAAGCGCTACATAAACATTCCCCCTCTGTGTGGAACAATTATATATCATGTATTAATAATACTGCTATATAATTTCAATGTTGCATTTTACTGCTTCAGATGTTTATGGTTGTGTAAATATTAACACTTTAATATACTGTTGGTTAGTTAAGTCTACAGCGCCATAGATTATACTTTAAAAGACAAAGGTTTGCTGACCTACTGACCTATCTGTAAAGGTCAACTTTTCATTGGATAACAAAAACAGCCCTGCTTTTACTTTGCATTTTCAAGCTGTTCCAAGAGAGGTTTTGAATGATTTATTTATCTTTAAAAGTATGAGAATCAATCTACCCATAAATCAACACTGAATCTTTCAGTTTATCACAAAGATTGAACAATGACCACATCTAGAAGAACATGGGGGTTACAAAGACTGTAATAAAGCAGTTAGGCACATGCATTAAAAACAGTACTTGAGTAAATATGCTCAATTACATTCCAGCTCTGGGTTGAGCTTACAGTAATACATATGTTTACCTGGAGCGCAGTACATCTGTTCCATGGCTTTGGAGCAGATCTCTGACTGAACCTCACTCCACTGTCCGAAAAAAGTCAGACACACTTTCCCTGTGAAGACATTGCGTCTGGTCAAAATCAGAAGTATGTACGTTCTCCACATGCATTCTCTTACTGTAATGATGAACTCACCGTTGCTGGTGAGCAGAACGTTTCTAGGGTTGAGGTCCCGACACAGAATGCCCTGCTGATGCAGACTCTCCAGAGCCAGCAGGACCTGAGCCCCCCAGACGCGGACCTCTGCTTCCGAGAGCCCCCAGCAGGTGTGCATGGCCTTATCTGCAGACCTGGAGGTTTCCACGGGGACCCTAGGCGTGTGGCACCATCCATCCACCTCTATGATGTCCTCCTCCCACTGCCCCCCCGATCCTTCAGATTTAACAGACACATCCTCCCCGTTCCTGTGGGGCGGGGCTTCAGCAGGGCCTGTGGAGAACCAGCTCACAAATGATCGCTTTTTCACAGGTGCCACCTTCTCTCCGTGACTCAGCACTTCGCAGGCCTCCTCTACACCGTCATTTGAACGTGTTTCCCCCAGAAATGTCCCCTGTTTCTCTGCTATGTTGTGGCAGAGGGTAGCCGAGGAGTGACAGGAGCTTTCTGAAGTGTCTGTGTGCTCAGAAAACACTGCTCTGTCTGTGCTCTTGATGACCAACATGCCCTCTGCGGTGGGACTGCTGTGCTCCTGCTTTAAGTCTGAAACTGTATCTGCAGAGCTGCCACTCAAAACTGATCCTTCGTTAGGGCCGTTGGTTTCCCATGATGCCCTGCCACGGATCTGGGTTTGGCAATGGAGAGGAAGATGCAAGATGGCAGGTGAGGAAGTTAGAGTGCTATTTTTACATGAGGTCTGGTTTGTACGAGGTGGTGTTTGTCCTGGCGTGCTTTTTAAAAGACAGTCAGTCACTGCATAGGGGTTTATGTGCTCCGAGTTGTGAGCTGGATCGGCAGCTTTCCAAGCGACTTCAAACTCTGCGCTGCACTCTGTCAGTCCCATTGCAGCCTGTGTTTTGTGGGGATCTGACATTACACCGAGAGCTTGACTGACCCGAGAACAGGAGAGAGGAAGAGAAGGGTGGTCCTGAGTTTGACTGGGGTGCAAACACAAACTGGGAGCTGGTGTGTGGATGCGGGTGTTGGCCTGTGTCCTCTTCAGGCTAGAATTCAGAGTCAGCCGATCGAGCTTGGTATAAAACGAGGCTGCGGAGCGCGTGTTCTGAAGACAACCCGTCTCCTCGATGTAGGAGTGAGTGCCGCAGCTCTCCAGGCGCTGCTGGGTCTCGTCCCAGGACGTGGGGAAGTCTGTGTCTGGGCTCTCATCGCTCAGTTTCTCTGGAATCACTCCTGTGCTCCCTCTGCTGTTGTGCTGGTAGTCTGTGCTGATTGTGGGTGAGGTGTAGCTGGTCTTCAGCTTGATGCTGGGCTGGCCAGAAGCGATGCATTCTGGGTGTTCCTTGGCCTTCTCGTTCCGCAGCTTGTGCAGCTTGGAGAAGAGCTTCCCACCTGGGACAATAAGGGAAAAAAATATATAGATAATATAAACATGTAGGAGCAGGTGCACTCCTAAAATAACGAACTAATAAATAGGTTGACATGAAACTTGATTTTATTCTTTTTTAAAACAAGGTTCATTAATGTTTTTTTGCGAGAAAACGACCTTTACACTGCAGGTAAATAAGCCAACAATCTTAAACTTATAGCCTAGATTTAACTTAAAATGTAACCAATTTAACACTTACACTAAGAAATGTTCGTAGTATTACAAGTTTCTGAAATGTTATGTTTCAATATGCAAACCATGCATTAAAGAATGTGAATTTTTTAGTGAATTTTTATGAAAACTTAAGTCACGAAATAGTGTGTTTTTTGAATGTTTTCTTCCCACTAGTCTAAACTCTAAAGGAACAAACAACACAGGAGGACAGAGCTATCCGCTCACCTTTGACATGCTCGAGATGCAGGTACACAGCATCCTCGCTGACATAATATCTGAGCAGCTTAACCATGTAGGGAACCCCCTGAGGAATGATGGTTGGCTTATCCCTGCTCTCCCAGCTCGACTTGACCAGACTCTGCAAGAACACACACACACACACACACACACACACACACACACACACACACACACACACACACACACACACACACACACACACACACACACACACACACACACACACACACACACACACACACACACACACACACATTGACAGATCTTTTAAATATGCACTTATTAATATGTGGAAACAACATGGTATTAAATCAGACATGGTTAAAAGAAAAAGAAAAAAGACTGCTTGGATTGCCCCTTTAGAGTTCAGTGCCTGTGTGTAACCAGGTCTCTATGGTCACTGCAATGTGAGGTGCACTTGCATAGGCTAAAAGGGTGAGAGCTCTCAGGAAGATCAATGCAAGATGATACTGGGGGAGACAGGAGGGAGAGAGCACCCATCGACTGGCCTGCCACAGAGGGCTGGCTCGCTGCCAGACAACAACCCCCGAAACATATCCGCTAACACTGGATGGATCTTAAAGATGTAAATGTAACAAAGGAATGGCCAATTTTCTTACTCACTTCTGGTTTCCTTAAATATCTAAATATACAAGAAAACTGACTCACCTTCACGACAAACGTCTCCTTGTTGACCATGCTTTGGACAATCAGGACCTTTGAAATGAAAAACAAATCAAGGAGTGTCAATACTCAAATACATCACTCAAATGGAAACAATGGTGGTAAGTGTTTCTGTCTTACCTTATCAGTCACCCCCACCACCTTACACATCTCCAGGTCCTCCACCGGCGAACTCAAGTGTCTGATTGGACGGAATCTCAGACTGCTGTAACCCTGGTGATTAAAGCAACCCAGGAGAAAGAAATATCGCAGTATTTTAGATTATTAAGGCTATTTTGAGCATAAAGTTTCAAAGTAGGCTAGGTCGTGCTTTTTTATGTTCAACTCACAAGGAGAACAAGCAAAAAATGCTGATACGACAATATTAGCTAATAATACGTGACTGCTGTAAATAACTCAACCCTACAATTAGAGTTGAGCTTTACTTTTTGTGAATGACAGTAAAGGATGACAGTCTTACCCCTAAGTGAGAGCTTCCCTTCCCTAGGTTGTCCTGCAAATGCGTTATGAAGATCTCTTCAGCTCTCTTGAGATACTGGGTTGTTTTCCTCTTGACAGCCTCCCGACGCTCCTTGTTTGGGTCCACTATAAAAAAAAAAGTGAAGCTCTATTACACTATAATGTAAAGTGAAGTAACTGCAGCTGTGTGACCCTGACCGGAGCACACCTCTGCTCCTGGGTTAAGGATTGGTTCCACACAGCTAACACAGGGAAATCTCTGTTTAACCTTGGGTTTGTGACTTCCTGTTTTTATTCTGGTCCACATGTTCCAATCACATGACTTATGCCAACACTCCTCTTCCAATGGCTCTTTATCACAAAGTCTTAACCAATGGTGTGACAGACCAAATGTTGTCCACTTACACTGAACCCCATTGAGCAGCAAGTCCACCCCGTTCTTGTAGTAGCTGAAAGCGGCCTCATAGTCCTCATTGACCTCGCTGTCCAGGGCCATGTGGATCTGCTTGGCCGCCTCCACCAGGTAATCTCTCTTCGCCATCGCTGCCTTGTTTTGTACCCGTCAAGGACCGGATGGGCCTGAGCACAACATGGAAAGTTCGAAATTACATCTGATTCAAACATGGTAGAAAGTCAAGTTGTGTCTTGTTGAATAAGAAACTGAAACCTAATTTTGAATGGTCGTAAACCAATCTTACTTGAGTTAACTTGGCACTTACCTTTGCTCCCTTATCTTATCAACAGTAGGACACATCTCTGTCTGTTGTCACTGGGCTCTGTGTGTGTCTGCCCCCAGTGCATCTAAGGTAGAGGTCTCTGTACCAGAGCATGATCATCTGAACCAGTGGAAACAAAGAGTTAACCTCCAGACCAGCACAGGAAGTGAGTACAAGCCTGTGTCTACTATTTCTGAATGATGAATGGAAAGAAGCAGTGTAGCAAACGTCCAAGATGATAGGGAGGTGACTCAGAGCACTGAGGCACATTGTCGTGTGTCTTTAGGGGAAATAAGTTAGTCATGTATCTCCAACAGGATAACCTAAATGTTACACTGGAGAGGGTGTCCACACAGCAATCTGACTATACTACCCAAGAAATATATGGTACAGTGTGGTCTAAATACATAAACCAAATCACAGGAAGTGGATTATTTCTAATACATGTGCTGACACATCAAATCATCAAATATTATGCAATTAGCTTTTGTTACATATTGAGATGTATCAACAGTCAGACAGAGAAGGCTAATGGTGACTATAATAGCTCCCATTGATCTGAAATATAATGTTTCGTTCCCTTGGAATTGGCCTACACACTGAAAACACAAACATCACACACCCCATCCTGGTTACAGTCAAGGAGGCGACATCATCTAAGGAGTCTTATGAAACGCACAGCGCCATCCCCAGTCTCCCCCATCATCATCTTACTAGCAGCATGCACTCCCACAGCAAAACAACTGGCTATCAACCATGGTAAAGAAATAAAACCATAGCACCGGAAACAGGCAGATACATAGCGTACTGTACCTGATGTGAGTGTGAGGCTTCCATGCCCCGGACCCTCCACCATCCAGCGGCAGCAGCGGCAGCATCAGCAGCGGGCAGCGGCTAGTGCCTCCAGCAGCCTAACGCCCTCCTCTGAGGAGCAGGGAGGAGCGGGAGCTGAGGCAAGGCTTCTGATTGGCTGAGCGGGATGTCACTCAAAGGTCCCATTTCACACAGGGCTCGTGCTTCCCATCGTCCAAACCTGACAGATAGTGGCAAATTTAAAGAGACAGTACTGTTTTTGTGTGCACTGACTGAAGGACATTTTTAACCCTGATTGTTTTACTTCCGAAATGCCACTGTGTTGTCTAATGAAACATCCTCTATGAAATGTATAATATTATTGCTGTATTTATTTAATTTCATCCACTATGAATGGAGGTATCACCCTGCCCAGAATCTATAATCTACAGGGTCGTGGTGCTCAGTACCAGATGGAGCCAGGCTCCAGTCACAGCACAAAGGAGAGTGGTTTCCTTCCCAAGGGAGGGCCGGTTTACAGAGGGGGGGGGGAGGGGGTTAAAAGCTTCAGCCTCAAGCAGGATGGTAGGAGAGGAGGAGGCCTGTGGTGTATCAGATGCTGCAACCTTATCTAAAAAGAAAGAAGGGGTCGTATTTAGTGTAATGCATATTTTATACCGGATGAACGTTTTTAATATATTAATACCTGCTCTATTATGCTAGAAATTGCCTGATACAGTGCTGTACAGGTTATACTAACACAATCAAATATTCCGTTATTTTTTGGATTCACAGTTTCCTGATTAGCATCACCATCAGAGGATCAAAAACTACCAGTTACTTTCACTAGACTTGAGATATTTAATTTCAATTTCTCCTTTCAGTCAGTTTTTATTTTTGATTAGCTGGGACTGTAGGGTAGGCTAATAGGTTTAATATATAAAAAAAACTGCAGATGTCGTTTAACAGAGCAAATTATTGTTGAATCTTCCTGTTCCTCTAAGTTTGAAAAACAACATTACATGGGATGTACTGTTTTTACAGTACTTGCATCTTTGTATTGTTTTTGTTAAAAAATAAACACTGTGTATTATGTTTATGGCACATGGACATCAGCTCTGGCAACCCTCACCCTTGGATCCATATTTCATTTGATTTAAAACCCTTCTAAACAAACTATTCAATTACAAATGTACAGTATGATAAATGGATCTGTCTACTTTAATTCTTATGAAAAAAAAAGAGATGTGAATACTAGATTGAACATACTGGATCTTACTTTTAATGATATATAAGCACTTTTAATTGTTGCTTGTTTTAATTATCTAAAACAAATCTTCAATCGTGCCATTTCTTTTAATGTTGTATATATTAAAACATTGTGAGCAGCATTATTTATTTGCATAAAAAGTCAAGGCAATTGACCCAATTGGAATGCTTCAGTTAGATTTTATTCAGGAAAAGACAGTCTATGTGATACAGTACACAGAATTATAGACCTGCAGTGAGGAATTGAGTAAATACAGATTCATCGTATCGATCACTATACGTAGATCACAGAGAGGAGTCATCATTATTTGTCAAACCTCACATTGTAGGACACATAGTAGCCATTGTTGTACATGTAGAGCTTCTGATCGGTAGGATTGTAATGCAGGTTGGTGTATTTCTCTTGGAACTTTGAGAAGTGGATGCTGAGGTGTTTCTCCTCATTGGTCCTGGTGTCGTACGCATAGAAGATCTCCTCTGTGGTCAGATCCACTGACCTGGTGGCGTACATAACTCCACAGGCCATGAAAGCGTTGCCAGCCAACTGCTTGTACGCAGTGGTGCTCCACTCATTTTCAATGCCGAAAGATTTCTCATCTATTTTAGCAATGACAATTTTACCTTTGCTCGCCTCTGTGGCATACATTACCCACAAGCCATTTTCATCTGCTGAAAAGTCCATGTTCTGATGGGGCGAATAACTGTACGAGAAACTTGCACTAGCAGATGGGATCACTCTGTAGTCATATTTGACAGTGGTCAGGTTCAGTTTGCTCATGCTGAAAGGAGTGTTGTGCTGGTAATATATGGTGTTACTATGTACAATGTAATTGTTACCGGTACCTTCCCACCCATTTGGTAAGTCATGGTGTTTCAATGCTGACCTCAGAATCAGGTTTTCATAGTTGGAGTACAAATAGAAGTCATATATATAGTGACTGGTGTACGCACCGTAGAAGTACATTGATTCATAGCCTCTTACAGGTTTGGAGTCTTTTCCCCAGCCCCCATATTGATAACCTGCATTCAAATGAGCATTCAGTTGGACCACCATTGGCTTGCCAATGCTCATTATTCCTGTGCCATTGCAGTTGCCTGGAAAGAAGAAAGAAAGAAGCTAATTATTATTTTTAACCCTTACAATATAGCTGAATTTAACGGTTAAATGCTCTCCAAAATATTTTCTAGGTCAATTGTTTGGTCTTAAAAATGTAAAAAATAGTAAAGAAAGTTCATCCCAGTTTCTTCAAGTCCAAGGGGATGTCTCTAAATGTCTTGATACGTCAGTCCGAAACCCAAAGATGTTTAATTTGATACAAAACAGAGAAAAGCAGGACATCTCCATATTTGAGAGGCCAACATTTTTCTGATCTGTTATCCACCATCAGTTGAATAGTTGACTTACCAATATCTGGCTTGATTACATCATGGTCCTTCTGGCAATCCTCCAGCTTCTTCTGCAGCTTAGCGAACTCAAGGCGGATCACCTCCAGGTTGCTCTTGTCGAACGTCTCCAATTGGTTCACAATGAGGGTCATGTTACGGATCTGGGAAAAAACAAAAAAAACAAGTGTAAATTTGTTATTCTAATAAAGAAGAAATCTATGTTAATTAAAAGTTATTAAGTAAATAGCTCTTTCACCTCAATATACAGACTGTCAAACATGGGAGAGGTGGAGTTGAGGGAGTCTTTGAGCTGAGACACCAGCAATTCAAACTCTCTGAGCTCAATCCTGAGCAGCTCAAAGTCCAGTTTGATGTATTTGTCAGCACTGCTCTCCAGCATGGACACTCTCACAGTCAAGTCGGACAGTTCCTTCAAGTAGCCCTCCAACGTACCCACATAGCTTATCATCTGAAAGAGTGAAGAAAATCAGCATGAAGTTGTCACCAAAATATATAGAAAATGCTTGGAAGATTACCGTATTAATCAATCTTACTGCACCTTGTTCATCTGAATGTCCACCTCCAGGATCAGATCATGGCTGACTTGCTGCATATGCTCAACCCGGTCTGCAGGGAAGGTGATTTTGGGCAGATACACGTGACAAACACACTGACCTGACTCACTGACTGAAGCAGTCACATTGCCGGACTCCCAGTCATGCACGGGCTGATAATCAAAAAGTAAAGATATTGCCGTTAAAGTTGATTATAATAAATGACCCATATCTCCTGCAAATGTTAAAGAAAGTTCACTTACAATCCAGGCCAAAGCAGGACTGAGCAGCAGCAGCAGCGGAATTGGAAGCATCCTGTCTCAGTTTACCTCTCAAGTGTCTCCTCTGCAGCCTTATTCCACGCTTTTAAGGACAGCTCTTATCATTTCATCAGCAACACCTTCTCTCTTCCCATAGTTGTTAATTGAGCTGCCTGGAACTTCAACACAAGACCAGCTGTTCATTCACAAGCAGCCCAGGATTAATGGCCTTATCCTTGTTTGCTCACAATAACATTTGAGGAAGAAGTCAGGTTTGATCAGAACATTGGGGTGTGGATGAGAAAAATGCCATTTGTTGAACCTCATAATCTTTATGGCCTGTTAGGTGAATGTCGCAAGTGTTAGATAGGGATCATCATATCCTCAGGCACACACTGTGTCAGGCTGTTTAATATAATTGCATCATTTATGATATATCCTGCTTAACAGGTTGTGTTTGTTTGTATAGTTATTACCCTAAAAGTCAGTTCTCACTGTGTTGTGAATGAAATAATCAAATTGCTTCTTTGTATAGTTTACTCCACATTGTAAATTGTATAATCGTATGCATGTGACTTGTGTGGTGCTTTTAATCAGTGTAGTTCATGGGAAGGAGACACTGAGCCATAATGGAAAAACTTTTAGTAAAATGCTGATTTAAACTCCCGAAAAGAGATTGTTTGCAGTTATGACTATTATTATTACATAACACATACGTTGTATAGCTGGCGTTTTTATCCGTAAAATTGAAACCATCAAGTGCAACAATTTGGAGTCAAAGACGTTTTTTTTTACTTTATTTTTATTCCTTTTTATTTAAAAAAAAAAAATACATCAAGATTTACATGACTACACCTGTTGTGCATCCGGTATAATCATTCCTGTCCTCCTTGGACACCAAATGACATACCATTGATTTGATGTGGTCATTCTTCATATTGTAAAAACATTAAGAACACAATGCAGACATTATCATTCTCCCCATCAACAAAATGATCAAACAATACCTGAACTGTTATGTTAGTAAAAACCAGTCTGTCAAAAACCAGATGAAACAAGTCTAAGGAAATGAAAGTAAATGAGAAGGAAAACAAAAAAACAAAAAAACAAATAAAGAGCTGCTGCTAGAGTTCTGGTGTTGCCTGTATTGATGACGACCACTTTTTACTTCCAATCTATCGGTTTTCAGCTGTAGCGGAATCAACGGTTTAAACGTTTCAATTAATTAACAAAGGAATTTAACTATCATGTAATCACAGTAGATGGTCCCTCCCCAAACACTGAATATATCTGCTGCGTGTCCCCCTCAGTCTGCCTCTACACAGGTCTGATTGATTAATTAATTATGGGTGCATTTCCTTCAGATGCGCTTGTCCCTGTTTCAGTGCATGCCGTCTCACTGGAATAGCTCACTGGGAGAATTATACGTTACAGAGCCATGATTAATGATTAATATCATTACAATGTAGACTTTTTTATTTCATTGTGTCATCCTTGACCAACTTAAGGAAACAAATTAACCTTAACTAACGAGCTGCTGATGCATATTATTTCTGCTGTTCATTGCAGTTTCACTCTCCCATTGGATTGTTGTCATAGTGAGGTGCAAAACGTACATGATTAGAGTATTAAATTGTTTTCCTTTATTAATCTTGTTGGGATATTTTTTGGGACATTAAAAGTAGGTAAGTAGGTAAGCTTGAGAAACCAGCTCGAGATACACTTTTTGTCATATTCCATGGAATGCTCTTAACATCCCGATAGCAATGAATATTTTAAGTGCTTTGACAAAAAATCCATAAAAAAATGTCATCTGTGGAAGCCGTAGTACTGTAAAAAGTACGACCAATCATTTTAGCCGACCCGGCTAAAATAATTGGATGGCCTACCGGCCTGTCAGCCTTCCATCTGTGCACAAACTTATCTCGTGCCCTCATTGGTCATGTGCACGTTCGTGTGTGTTGGAGGAGGGGCTCTGTAAGGAAGTGGCAGATTTTTTCCGGCTGTGTATTTTCAAATTCCAGCGCACTCGAGCTGGTTTCTCCAAAATTACCTACCCCACCTTTAACTTGTCATGGTAGAAAAAAGACTGGTGTTACTAATAGAAATAACGATGACTCTGTTATATTCAAGGGTTGTAGTTGTGAAAATGGGACAGTGACCCTGAATTTGAGTTTGCTAAATAATTCAGCCATAAGTAACTTTAATTTGATAATAAATATGATAATTTAAACATCAATGCTTTTACTATATATATATATATATATATATTTTTTTGTCTACCTTGCCTGGCTCACTAAAACAGATGTACCGTATTATAAAAAAGGTGAAAACAATCTATTGCACAGGTCGGTTGTGCCAACATTGGTAGTTTGTACACACATTATAACTACTAAGAAACCTCATTCATTGATCCTGCAATCCAGCATTTTCTAATCAAGTGTAATACACAGTATATACCAAACAGAATCTAATAATAGTGGAAATAGATTCATTCCTTTGTATGTATGTAATTATTATGTTCTACTGCTTATCAAGTAAATGGGAAAACAGATATATAATGTTTGATGTATCGTTAGAAATCTGTTGGGCATTTTTACACTCCTTCAGTGTAAAAACAAACAAATATAAAGGACAATAACAACAGTTAGATGATCCTTCACCTATTGACTATAATTCAATTTTTTATAGAATGAGTGGGTAAAGAGAGTATAAATATAAAAAACACTCATCACATCTGAACAAGGAAACACTTGACACATTTTCAATGCTTGAGATAATTTATTATAAATCAAGAAGTTTAATTAATGCACTTTATGAACTTCAAGAGGAAAACTAGAGATATAATCACTGCTAAAGTCACAGATACAGATTTAGGACAAAAGAAGTGGTGGTTCCACTGTGGCTTTAGTGGTGTAGTTAAACCACAGGTGGTAGTTAACATAGTAGCCATCATTGTACATGTACAGCTTCTGGTCAGTGGGATTGAAGTCCAGGTTGGAATACTTATCCTGGAACCGTTCAAAGGGAACACTGATGTAGCTCTCTTGTTTGGTTTTGGTGTCGTATTTGTAAAATATCTCTTCTGTTTTGATATCAACTGTTTTGACTGCATACAGAACGCCACACACCATGAAGGCATTGCTCACGCCTGGTTTATAGACACTGGTCTGCCATTCCTCTTCAACCCCAAAAGAAAGCTCGTTTATTTTAGCAATGACCATCCGACCAGCGGACTCCTCATTGGCATAGGTCACCCACAGGCCGCTTTCATCAGCCGCAAAGTCAAAGTTCTGATTGGGGGAGTTGGTGTAGGAGAACCTGCTGCTGGCTCTAGGAATAACCTTGGACTCATATTTCCCTGTGGTGAAATTCAGTTTGGCCAACCCAAACGGGTTGTTGATCTGATAATAGAGAGTGTTGTCACGGAAGATGAAATTGTTCCCTGTGCCATACCAGCTGCTGTGTAAATTGAGATGCTGAAAGTGGTTTCTCAAAAGGAGGTTCTTGTAGTTAGTGTAAAGCCTGATGTCAACAATGGAAGCACTGGAGTACCCGGAGTACCAGTACATAGATTCTCTGTGAGGAATAGGCTTTGAGTCTTTCCCCCAGCCTCCATATTTGTAGCCTGCATTAAGATTGGCATTCAGTTGGCTTACAACGGGCTTGCTGACCTTGATGATACCTGTGTGTGCACATGAACCTGCAGAGAAAGAGAGAGGGGAAATTAGAGTCCGAAAAAACTTAGATTTTAGATGTGAATATCGTAAGGAGTGAGCTTACCAATGTTCGGGTTGAAAAGCTCCTGGTGTCGTCTCTCGCACTCCTCGAGTTGAAGCTGCACCTCGATATACTCCCGACGCGTCACCAGAACCAGGTTCTTGTCGTAGGTCAGCTCCAGCCTAGTCAGGGTCTGCACCATGACTGTGATCTGGGTGTAAACACATTTTTTGGCATTGTGGATTGGCATTATACTGGTAATGCGTTGACTCCCATCAAATGTACTTACCTGTATATGCAGAGACTCAAAGACAGTGGTGGAGCCTTTAATGGAGAGGTGCAGCTCTTTAATCAGAGCCTCCGCTTGTTTGATCTCAATCTTTATCTCAACCTTGTCGGCATCATTGTATGCATCGGGGTTCTTTTCAATTTTTTCAATCTGTACTGACAGCTCTATTATCCTCTCTTCATAAGCTGTCAGCTTTATCTCATAGTCCTCCAGCTGAAATAAAATGAAGATTTTACATTCTTTATTGAAGTCTCAAATATGTTATCATATACTTTCGTATGCTTCAATATGCCTGTGCACCTTGCCCATCTCCAGCTCCAGTTTGTGTGAGATCTCCACGGCTGTCTGCTCTACCACCACCAGGTCTTTAATAGGAAAGGTAGAACTGGGTAAGAAGGCATCACAGGTGCACCGGTCCCCACTTCCACCTCTGGTCCCATTCCTCGCACTGCCCTCGCTCAACAGGCCTAAGCGCTTCAGGCAACAAAAAGAGATGGTCACATGCTGATACAGTAGATCATCCTCAAAGAATAAAGATGAATCAGTGGATCTAAGTCATGCCATACATACCCCCCAGGCCATCGCTGAGCTGAGCAGTGCCAAGAAGTACAGCGTGTCGATCATCTTGATGCAGTCAGAGTTGTAATGATTGAGATAGCAGGACCTTTGTGCTTTTATAGCCTGTGTCTACATCTCGCAGGTTGAAGCACCTGTCCTTGTTCACATCACAATTAGTCAATATGCAAAACTTGATGTCATCGTCAGCAAACAGAAATGAAATACTCTTATGTTTGTTTGATTTATTTATGAGTGGGTGTGCATCAGAATTCAAGGATTAGATGATGGGTGGGTCTACCATCTGACAGAGTTCCCAAGCAATATGAAATGTTTTTCCTGATGGTCTGAACCCTGAATATACTCTGCAAATATAGAGATTAGATAAAAAATAGAACCTGTTTCGGATTTGTAAGCATACCTGTCTGTACCGACTACCCAGGGAAAGGTCAGAGAATTTAAATGAATGTCTGTATTTTTGTATCATTTG